GATGTTTGCTGCCATTTGCAGCTGCGCGAGGTGGCAGCCAAAGCCGCCGGCACATGAAGAGGCGATTGATTTGGCGGGTTCTGCTGGGGAAGTATCATGAAATATCCTTTTCATTAGACCTCTAGAATCCTCTAGACCTTTCCATGTCTAAATGTTGTCTCTTACTGTTCTCATGGCTATACTTGAAATATCATTCCCTAAGGATCCAGTCGTACCTTTTGAGGTTCGATAACCTCCTGGATTGCTAGGGATTCTTTTGACCAGCTCCGTTTGCACTCAAAATCTGGCCTCACAGGACTTCCAGTCACCTGGACTTTCGAAGCCTGACTGTCACTCCCAACAGTCTCATGACCTGACCGCAGCGTACGATCAGCTTCTTTGATCTTAGGGCGCCAGCGTCCCTTCGGCGCCCCGAAAAGCACGTCGGCCGCTTCACTCCGTAGGGGCCTCCAGACGTGCAGTCTGAGCGTCGACCGGGTGCGTTTTCCTGGTGCGTTTTGAAGCTGGTTCAAACCACGAGATGTTCTTAGTGTTCATCATGTTTCTCATTCTAGCACATGAGTGTGCTTTTGCACGAACGCATATACAGTAATTATATCGCCGTATTTAGCTGTGCTTGGCACCCCGGCAGACCTTTCGAAGCTCAGCTCGCCACTGACCAAGCGATGCACTGCCACCAGAGCTTCATCTCGATTCCGACTATGCCGCAGGGCGCGTCCCCTGCGCGGGTCCAGTCCGATCCGATCATCAAAACCTGAACACCGGGTCAGACCTCGATGTCTTTTTCGTACCCGGTTTTCGAGCGGGTTCCACGGTGCCTTGGGGGGGCCAGGTTCCGGAAGAGGTCATCAGTCCAGTGATGCCTGTGATGCCGGTGCCCAGCCCTTCGAGGCGAAGATGGAGCGAAGGGCTAGTGGCAAGGTGTTTTTGGATCGTTTTTGTTGCCTGGTCTTGATTAGGTTTTAGTTTTCCGGTGCAATCCTCTTCTGGCCAGCAAATCCCAATTTGGGAAGATGTGAAGTCAGTTTCAGAGCACTCCCAACATCTCCATACTTCCCCCTAGTTTCGATTGGCGCCGAAGGCGTGTCTTTTGGGTTCGGCCTAAAGCTCCGGTGAAGATGAACGCCTAGCGTAGAACAGCGTGCGCTTTGATCTGAATGATTCAGTTGAACTATTTCCCAGACACTCCATGTATGACATATAACCACCGACCAAATGATCTTCAATGTATAATGTATAGTTAAATATCCCAGTCCCAGACAGGTCGCCTCTGGGATTCCCAGGATCTCTTAGCTGAAGAAGTGCAACACAACCTCTCAAAAGCCACCAGACTTGTTATGCTTCTCTTGTTTTGCTCACTTGTCAAGCCTTGTCAGCATATAAAGCGACCTATACACCATGGTTCCTGGACTCCAGCCTGTGTTCCCTGTCCCCTTCTGGCCCAGATCGAAGCCTTCGGATTTTTTCTCTGCACGCCATAGCGATCCGGTGCGGAGCGTCGTGTGGGTCGCGGGGTGGGCGGGGTGTGTCGACGGGGTGTTTCGGGAAGGAGCAGTCGACGTCTGGGTGTCGGACGTGCGTTGCCCTACACTATAATTATAGATGTAGACTCTTGAGGACCAGACACCCCCACATTTTATTTTTCACATCCTCTTCAAAGGGGGGTGTATTCATCAAGAGTCTACACTACTTAGGGCGGGATCTCCATTTGATGGGCCCCTTCCAGGGTGCACTCGTGAGAACCGAAGGGTGATCCAGGTCGGGGTTTCGCCATGGTGGATGGAACTCCATGCCTAGCCGATCAGAGACCTTCCCCCCCCCCCAGACCAGCTGAAAGATCTGAAAGTGATTTGTTCGACCAACATGGCGGGACGTGGTCTAGACCAAGGAGTGGGTCTCGAGACCGAACCAGGTCTTGGTGGACTGGTCCTGAACGGCTCATCGAGCGGTCGAGTGACCACGGACCCGACCCTTCCACTCACCGGGCTGGAAGTCGAAAATGGGTCGTTTGGCACTTCCTGCTTGGGACGGCCATGGATGGACTGCCGATTCATTGACCCCCCTTTTTCTCCACCACCCCTGGCCGTTTTGAAGGCAGTCCGGACTGGCAGTCCCATGTGTTGTGTTTGGGTTTGGATCTAACCACACGGGTCCAGGTGGTTGCAATCTTCACACCAAGTGCGACTGTTCTCCCACCATGGAAGGGTGGAAGATTTCAACGTCAGACACCCCATGGTCACATGCTGTGCATCATTGCCTTTGGGTTTCTGGGCGCAAAGATCGATGCTCTACTCGAAGCAAGACGCGTCGGAGCTGTCTCCAGTTTTCGTTTCGCAGCTGTCTTGTTGAGGCAGACACAAGATGAGTCTGAATTCATCGCTTCATTTCGCGTGTTTCCTCGAACACGGAAGCGCAACATCGTGCAACCAATCGTTCGTTTGAGCGTCACGGTGTTACGGCGCGATACGGCGAAAGTCATGACACGCATGTGACACACGGGGGTGTCCAGGACGTTTGGCGATATGTTGCGATCAATTGACATTGTGCAACAGGCTCTCAGAAGGTACCAGGAGGTCCTTGTCTGGATCTTTAGATGTTAGTGCCATCCGAATGGATGTGAATGGAGCATGTTTAAAATTAATCCTCCAAGAGGAAGCCAACTCTATGCAACTCCAGGTATGTGCAATATTCTTAAATCTCGGTGAATCCCAAGCGATTTCATGCGATATCCAAATTCAAGACATTCCCGGATCACCCTCCGCAAAGGCATCTCTTTGCTTGCTTCCTTCATCTCGACTCGACTCGAGATCTCGCGACGGCCTGGACTCAATCGTATCGCGATTCGCTTCTGTGCTCGAAGCCGAATTGGCGGCGGCCGAGTTTCGGCTTTGAACGACCAGAGCCGTGGCCGCGGGCCGCTGGGGAGTGAAAGAACGGCGGAACAGAGGTATGGGCAGGTGGACGGAAAGCAGCTGCTGTTCGTTCTATGGCTGTCGAAGTAAACACCAAGAATACCCAAGAGAAATCCCCACCTGGGCATGAATCCACCTCCTGGAGAGGCCATGGCAACATCGCAAGTTCACCAACGAGTGTTGTATATTTGCCAATGTGAGCCTTTCCAATGTGTCATGCCATCACAACACGGAACATGTGCTACGCGCAGACACATGTGACCACATGCAAGCATGACAACGCTGCAACCAGCAAGAACAATCGAATCCGCAACCAACAACGCCGCTCCGGACTGCTCTGAAGTCTTTAGCTCTGGCCAAAGACCCCGGCTGGCTTCATTGTTGCAAATAACGATCACCGAGTGCGGCTTTAGGATCTCGTCCTGTGAGTGGATCTTCGCCGCAGAAATGGGACGGGTTCCAAAAGCGAGTTGCTGTATTTGGACGCAGAAAATCAGGTTCCTACTTGGTGCTCTTCCATTTGGTGGAACAGGGTCACCCAGAAACATAGACCTGTCATGTATATGCAATATATGCCTATACACTGACCCCTAAAACCATGTAGGCAAATGGGCCACACATGGATGGTTTAGGATGGTTCGGATATAGATTCCTTTCATGGTCATGTACTGCTGAAATCCACTTGATTGAGGGGATACCACATGATCCACTCTCAAATGCGCCTGGCCCACCTCTAGATACACCAACCCGTGCGTGGAAATACGCGCTGCCCCTGCGTTTGCCCTCATCCGCTGGGAGCCGTTTGGAATCTCCGGGCTTTTCACGGGGTTTTCATGCGATTCAGATCCCCTGGGTTTCACCGTCCAAGTATGGATTCGAAGCGTCGGAGAAAAAGAAAGGAGAATGCTTTCGAGCGCCCATGGGCCCTTTCAGCGTTGTTTTGCTTCAGGGGACTTGTATTCAACAGTGTGATTTTGCTTGGGTTATGTTTGTAACGCGCAGTTCTGCGTTGCGAACTGCAATGAACAGTCCACAAACGAACAGCCCACAATGACCTGAGAGGAAGCAGGAGGAAACAATGCACACGACAGCCCCTGAGATCGGCGGTTTTGGAACTCCAGGTGTTCCAATGCATATGTTCAACATGCTCGATGTAGGGCAATGCATGCTATACATCACAACATCCACATGTCAAAAGCGTCCCCTTCAATGGAATTAAAGCATGGACCCGCATACCTTTGGATTCCAACAACCACTGTCTTATAATGGTTTTTACCAAACAAACATTGTTAGACTAAGGACTTTATACTGCAAAACAAGATCAGCCATTTTTAAGTGGTATATAGTTGCAGTTCATTTAGGATAGATCAGCTGCTTATTGTGTTTTTTTGGATCTTTGTCATGTGACCTTTTGCGTTGTAATGACATGAACAAGCATGTGTCCCTAACCCTGTCAAGGTTGCACTAGAACCAAGACTTTGACACATTTTTTGCAGGTTTCGACCAAGCTCGCATGGCCAATGAATATATTCATTGCTGAAGACACGCGCCTCATTACGCCTGGAAAGAGCTATGATGTGGTTTGGATCTCACCGTATCACTAAGTCACTGTCAAGAGTTTCTTGAGATGAGCTTTGCACACCAACAGTTGCAAGAAACTTGGTCATGACATCTATGACTACTATATACTCATATATATATAAATTTGCAATATGTTTCAACTGTTGAAACATGGCGGATCACTGGGTGAACTCCCATCGCGGCAGTGCTCCGTGAAGAAGTCTCGCGCGGATGGCGCGCTTTGGGAGTTTTTTTTTCACGGTGAATCGAAGGCAGACCCTCAGAGGGGTTGAAGCTTTGGAGTATTCCATTGTTGCCCGTTTGGGCTCCAGTCGTACCTTCTGAGAAGGTGGGACGGGTGGGTGCCAGGAGGGTCCAAACACCTGAGGAGGTACTTGGAGCCCTAGGGTTGTTCAATGCCAAGATAAGAAGTTGTTCACTTAAGTCCGATGAGTACGCAACACTCGCCACGCCGTATACTCGACGCACGCGATTCATTTTTTCGTCCTGGCCCCCGCTGCGGACTTCATGGCATTCACCGGTGAGACGCGACGGTTTGAGATGCACCATGATACACCAGTTGCTGATGCTTCACATTGCTTCACCTTCGAAGCCACAGAGCCGCCCTCGAAACCTAGGCGGACCGTGATGTTTCTTAGGGCTCCGAACGTCCCGCATCCTCAGAAGATAGTTAGCCCCCCGTGGATTCCACCCGAACCACCTTGTGAGGATGTGGGCTAGGAGCCCTAGGTTTGATGTATATCTCTTCGAATTCACCAAATCATCCCAACATGCACACCGGAGGCTCGCCATGGACCTCGGTGGACACGACTTCCATGGATCCTGGGGCGATTCTCAAGGTCCACCGAGAAGAAAAGAGAGGTCGACCACCGAAAAGGTGTCCTGTCCGAAAGTCGAATTGCGGATCCATGTGATACACTTTGAGGTACACCTCATGTCTGAGAACACCTATGGTGATGTTTTCGGTGCTCCAGTCGTACGGATCGGACACCCAAACAGCGACGGATTCGGCGACTGGATTCCGACGGTCTCTGAGGACCGACGTCTCCTTTTGGAGGACCGAAGTCTCTCGGAGAAGTTCGGACACTTGGCTTCGAATGTTCCATGGGTATACGATAAATACATATATCCTAGGGCTCCAACCATATCCTCAGGAGGTGGTATTCGACCCCCCTGGCACCCACCCCTGGCCCATCTTCGAAACGGAGGTGGGCCAGGAGCCCGAGGGATAGACATGTAACATGAACTGGTTGAGGTGTTCTTTTCATTTGGGAAAGAACATGTTCGATCTTCTTCGGATGTGGTGGGTTCGTGTTTTGGATGTGTCTTGTTTTGGTCAGAAGGAGGCGACCGACCAAGCCTTGAAGGTCGTTGTAATCGATGGAGGTGATGCATGACTTCAGGACTTTGTAGGTAGGCTGGGGTGCACAATTTGCTCACAGGCAGGTTATGGCAGGTTGTATTTTTGACATCTACGAATCAGCTGGAGTTGAAACAACTTCGTCTCCGCTCGGCGAAGACCTTAGAATCGATTCAACGCTTGAAGTGGATTCGAGCGAGACTTGTTAAACCAGCAAAACCAGAACGCATTGGTTGGACGGGGTCAACACAAAGGATGCTGTTGCCGACACCCTTGGTCTGGTGCAAACCGCCCTTCGTCGGCTCCATGTCAGAGACGGTTGACCAGCTCCATGTCAGAAAAAGCATCGGGCTTAAAACATGTATTACATTGATAATGACCAGCTCCATGTCAGAAAAAGCATCAGGCTTAATAAATGTATTACATTGATAATACATTGAATATATCCATTGATATGTTGTCCGTTGTTTTGAGCCTTAGAGTGACTTGAAGGCATCGGCCACATTGGCTGACCTCATTGACTCATGGCTCCCCACACTTCCTGGAACGTTGAGGCTGGTCTTTATTTGCTTGTGGTTTGTTTCCTTTTTTCGCACTACTGCGCAGTTTCGTCATGCCTTCAGAAGCCGAAACTGGTGAAGAATTCCGCGTCGTTCATCGGACCGTGCAGTTCTTCTTGGACTATGCAGTGGCTCACGTCGTGAACTGGCTTAGCGGGCCGCCGCTGGTGCATGAGGAACCGCGTTTGTTGCAGGCAAGTCCAACTATGTCCAACTGCCAAGTGAGGTGAGTTCGGAAACTTCTAGTTGCACCATTTGGAGACTTCGGTGCAAACGCAAACTTGGAAACGGCCTGGTAGTTTTGAATTGAGGTGTGGCATGCTTCCTTAGGTGAGGGAGAGAATCAAGGATCAGGCAAATTAACCCTAGGGCTCCAACCACCTCTCAGAAGGTGGTTGGGGTGGGTGTGAGGGGGGTCTAACCACCTTCTGAGGAAGTGGGCCGGGAACCCTAGAGTAAGCTGTTTCGTTTCTTTTTGCCAGGTCTTCCGCAACCGTCCACTTGTGGACAGCAGCCCTCTTTTACTTTGTGCACCTCAGCTGAAGCCGAAAATGGCCCGAGCGATTGGGCCACTGCCTGGCCAGCACGAGCGCGGCTGGCCCTAAAGGCAGTGAGACAATTGTTTCGTTTTCCCGCCAGACACCCCATATATGCCATATTTAATATCATACATTGGGGTGGTTTCAGGGGTCAATGTAGGTAAATGTGCCAGTCCGGAATATGTGGTGTGCCCCGGCTTCCAAATCCATGCGACTCATCCTTTCTCCCTTTCGGCGTCCATTTTTGGCACGTCCGACGGGCAGCTCGGCGGGGGCTCCTTCGTCCGTTGACACCATCTCCTTCGTCCATGGGCACGTCCTTGAGGCAGCTAGTATGGGCACTGTGGGCTCCAGCTTTTGTCCGGCAGCCCAGGACTGGGCTGCAGCCCAGTCAGGCTGCGGCCGGACAAAGGCCCCAGCTCACGTCATCGCTTTGCAAACGGTGCAGCGAAGTGAAGTGAATGTTTGGAAAACTGATTGGAATCCATTATAGAACTATATTGTACCATGCAGCTGCATGTGGAGTAGCAATCTTTGGTGAAGTGAATGATTGTGGAGGTTTGTGCAGGGGAGCCTCCATTGACAAGTCAAAAGAGTCCATGCACCAAGCGACGACGAGTGCAGCTCCAAGTGCAGCTACACATTCTCCCGGCGCGGAACAACATATCCTAAACATTAATCCTTTTGTGAAGGCGGAGAAGTGTATGTGGGTGTTTTGATGATGCCAACTGGACTATGATGCCAACTGGTGAGCAGATTCGCAACTATGATAAGAAGCTCACAGTGCAAGGACGGAAGGGAGAAAGGATCAAACAACATGTCGGACCAGGGTCCAACGACATGTAAAAAACCAACGAAACCTGATCGAACCATGCCGCTCCCCTCTTTCGCGAGACCAGGTTTTGTTGGTCATTCTTCATGATTTCTTCATGCAAGACCCAGCTCCTTGTAACTCGTCAGGCTCGCAACCAATGGCGCCAGTTGAAACTGCGCCGGTGGTGTGGAACCACGAACATCAGGAGATAATGTCCACATTATAGTATGTAATAGTCATCTTTGAGTCTTGGACTGTAAGGCAGGAGCCCCTAGTAGCGTCCTTGCTCCTAGTAGCGATGCCAGGAGCCCCTAGTGGCGTCCT